AAAAAAAAAAACTGCAGACCTTCTTCCTGGCTCCATAGCAAGGTATCAGTGATGACACACCCTGCCATTTGGGTGGCAGCTATGAGCTCTTTGTTCTTATCCTCCAATTTCCACCCCAAAGAGGGAAATTCAACTCAAGATCAGAGATATACCAATGTCAAACCCCTCTGGAGGACCAGGAGCCCAGGGAGGGTAGAATGAGGCCACCACAGCCCCTATCCCCAAACCAGGAACTGATGATGGCTTGTGGGCAACAGGTAGCCTAAAGAAAGACCTGATATCCACAATCCATTCTGCCCACACTGCTCTGTATATAGAGGCCCACTACTTGATGGGCTCCAAACTGACCAAGGGGCCCAGAGAATGCCTGGGTGTGCAAGTAGGAGGTACCCTTCTGGAGCAGAGTAAGCCTGACCCTGGCCTGTCACTGAGTAATGCACCTGCACATGCCATTAACCACAAAGCATATTACGGGTTCTGGGACGGAGGCTGCTATTCAGATGTTTGAACAGTCTTAACGTGGGCTCAGAGCATATGGAGCTAACTATCTCATAGGGATTGGCACTCTTGGGGCTCCACCAGCCCATCAACTCCTTACTGAATTGGTAAATCAGAACTGTTCCCCACAGCAACAGGCCAGAGCCAAGAGACTCCCTGCCTGACAGAAATGGCACCAGCTGCCCCTGGTAGCCCAAAGCCCCAAGCAGGCTCCCACTCCAACAACCTAAGCCAAAACAGGAAGTGCCCTTCCCAGAGCACAATCATGAGATGGCTGGACATAGGCAGGCTGGGGCTTGCTAGCCACATACTACAATATCTTAACCAAATTCTCTCAGAAGAGCACATCATCTTCATACACCTGAAGCCACTCAGAAGTGCCTGGTGCCCATCCAGTTACCAGAGGGAGACAATGGACATCACTGTGTTCTGAAAAATTTTCCCCTGGGTCTCTTAGGAATCAGAGACAGAAAACAGATCAGGCATCTGCTGCCACAGTACTAGGAGCCCTTCTTGAAGAATCAGCCTCCAAAGAGATCCCACTGTTCCTATGAGAATGGGACAGCCTCTCAGACCTCTCAGAAAACCCTAGATCTAGACAGATCTGGCCAGGTACCTCCACCAACGAAGAGGTCATTCAGTCCTTTGACGGTGAGTCTAAAGGCTGTGGGATGAGTTTGTTAGCATGTAAATACTAATGTGCCATGGCATTGAGCAGGAGCTCAGAGGGGGTACCAGTCATGTTTGCAGGGTACTCCAAGTTCCTCTAAGCCTCCAATCTAAAATAGGGCTTAGGAACAAGATGCTGCAGGCCATGGAGTAGCTCCATCACAAGAGGCAAGGCCAGTAGCACAAGCAGACTGCAATCCCTCAGCAGGACCTGTCAGCCTCACACACTTAGGCCACACAGATGGGGCTCATCTGCATCCAGCCACACCTCCCCTACCCCGACTACTGCCAAACCTGCTCCCTCAAGAATCCTAGGGCTCTCTTGCCAGCACCCACCACTCTCCTCAACTGCTCTGCAGCTCTACCTCCTGAACACCCTTTCACAAGACCTTTCTCTCCTTCGCTTCCTGGCTCTGCCCTCCTGAAACCCTCCCATCTTGGGAGACAGAGTTCATACCCCTCACTCTGGCTGCTTTGTGGAGCTTTCTCTTCCATGGTCACTCAATTGGTGGGGTCCAAGATGTGGCCTCAGCCCTTCTCCCATTCCAAATCCTGGGCCCAGCTGGCCCCTCCCCACACACAGTGTCAGCTTCTACCTCTACTCAATCTCTAGAACCCAACTTTTAGCCTGGCCCCTCCCTTGCTCTAATGCTAGCCCTCTTTTTGACATCAGGCATGGAGAGCCCATCCACCAGTCACTGGAACACCCCAGCCTCCACCCAAACACGCTATCCTCTCAGATGTCCTCCCTCCCTTCATTCCTTAAGCAACAAGGCCAGTCTCAGCATTGCCAGACAGGCCTCATCTTTGAGACACTGGGCCAGAGATGGCATTCAAAGCTCTGCCCAATGGGTATCTGCTACTACACCCCATGAACACCAGGCCCAGGCTCCTGATCCATCGCAGGTCTTTGATCCTCCTAAGGTCACCTAGAGATCCTTGCCTACCAGTGTCAAGACCTATATAGCATAGACCACATATCTACCCTTTTTATCACATAATCCTTAAGTGGATTTTCCCACCAGATCCATATAAGGCCCATAAGGAAGGCCCTATTATCACCTTATACCAAAAGAACCAGAGCATATAATACTACTTCCCTGCCTTTCACCTTCCCTTCCCTACCTCTACACCTGCCCACCCTCCCCAGCCCACTGTTCAGCAGACATGCCTGATCCCCAACCAACCTACCCCTGACTCAGGCCTAGCCCACATTAGAAAACAGGCCTCTAAGGTTGAAGGAGAAAAGGGCAAACCCTTTGCTGCTCAGTTCTAAAAGCCTCTGTCTGAATAAGTATCAATGATAAACCGCAAGGCACCCTATGTAAAGAAACAGTTTTTGTGGCCAGCCCCTGCCACCTGGTGGTGGTGTAGGGTATTACAAGCCTTAACCAATTAGACTGTCCTTATCAGACCAGATTCCCAGACACTAGCACCAAGACTCTCAGCATCATCTCATGTCAATGTCATCATCAATGACACTCTACCTGTTCCCCTCACTTTGTACCAGCCAGTCTCAGTTCTTGACATGAACCAACTCATTAACCCTCTCCATACCACCTATGACAAGCCTCATCATTGTCCCAAAGGCTCCATGGAATCAAGTGACCTGCCCTACGTCACACAGCTGGGAATGCTAAAGCTGGCTGTAGAGCCCACCATCCAGCACGTGCTTTTCAAGACTAGGAATTTCTCATTTATCCCCCAAACAGTTCTGCCCCCAAAAGTCCAAGATTCAGGGTGGCGCTTGTGGCTCAGTGAATAGGGCGCCGGCCCCATATACCGAGGGTGGTGGGTTCAAACCCGGCCCGGCTGAACTGCAACCAAAAAAAAAGAAAAAAAAAATAGCCAAGCGTTGTGGCAGGCACCTGTAGACCCAGCTACTTGGGAAGCTGAGGCAAGAGAATCACTAAAGCCCAGGAGTTGAAGGTTGCTGTGAGCTGTGTGACACCATGGCACTCTACCAAGGGCAACAAAGTGATATTCTGTCTCTACAAAAAAAAAAAAAGTCCAAGAGTCAGCTAGGAGGGGCTTGTGGGGAGTGTTAAGGGAGAGCTATGAACCCCAAGCTCCACACCTGTGTATACCCATGTCATTCCCACTTCAGGTGTGGATTAAAGTGAGCCCACAAACTTTAAATTCAGTTCCAGGTCAATGACCACAGGTTTTTGGTTTTGTTTTTTTTTTGAGACAGAGTCTCACTATGTCGCCCTCAGTAGACTGTCATGGTATCACTGCTCACAGCAAACTCCAACTCTTGGGCTTAAGCCATTCTCTTGCCTCAGCCTCCCAAGTAGCTAGGACTATAGCCTCCCACCATAACGCCTGACTATTTTTTTGTTGCAGTTGTCATTGCTGTTTAGCAGGCCCCAGCCAGGCTTGAACCCACCAGCCTTGGTGTATGTGGCTGGCATCCTACTCACTGAGCTACAGGCACCAAGCCATGACCACAGTTCTTCAAACAACTCCAACTTTGCTTCCTTCCTGGTCTCAGCCCTGTGCAGTCTGACCCATCCCTGTTCTGCCTACTGCACAACTCCTAATTTCTCCTATGGCGCTTGGCAGCATGAGCCCCATCCCCAGCCCTGGGGTGCCTCATGGCCCTGATCAGTCATACTTGTTCCCAGGCCTGTTCCATTCCCCAACACCTTCAGCCAGCTCTTCCTGAACATATCCAAGTGTGCCCTCACCCCCACCTCCCACCTGGAGGTAACATTAGCCCATGTCCATTGCCCACCACTCTGCCTTCTGAGTGCTACAATTCAATCAGAAAGTATAGTCCTGGGCCTACCTCCTGAAACCTGGTCACTAGCTAAGCCAGCCTTCCATATGACTTATGGCTCTCCATCAGTGCAAGACATCGTCAGGCCAGTGGTAAACAAAGTCCCACCAACACTGACCTCTACTGACAGCTCTGCCCCCTTTGCTATAGGTCAAAGGTTGTTGTTACCTTGACCACGTAGGGCAGGGCCTCCATCACAGGGAGAGGTAACTAGCATATACAGCCCCTGAGAGATGGCCCTGAAGGGCATCCGTGGCCCTTCCCATCTGTCCCTGGAGCATATGTGAAATGCTTCTACCTTGGAGGTGGGCACCAAAGGGCTTGCTCAAAGCCAGGTAGCCTCACATTTCATTGCCAGGCCAAGGTTCCAACAGGGCAGCCATGCTACAGACCACCCAGTCCTGGAATCTCAAACCAGAGACTCCTCCCCACCCAAGGCCATCCTCAGGCCCTTTAAGCATCACAGCAATAAACTGACACCTAGCACCAGTAGTTCCATCATGGCTGTTCATGTGCCCAGGAGGTCGTTCGACACTCACACTGATAATGCTGCAAGAGCCGGTGAGTCCGCACGTCCCACACCTTCACTGTGTTGTCCATTCCGGCAGCAGCGATGCATGTACCACTGGGATGGAAGTCCACATAGGTGACAAAACTGGAAAGACAGGGGCCACCATGCACTGTAAGAGGTCTGCCCTGGCTCAGAATACTTATGCCTGTGCTTTTCTGCTCATGCTGTTCCCTTGACCCAAACACCTCCTTTCTGCCAAGTTTCTTTAACAGGTGGCCAAGGGAAAGTAACAAGTAGGAGGTAAGAACAGTGGTCAGTAGTGAACCAAGGCAAACTTACCAAGGACCCTGTCCCACCATCAATTTTTAAATACAAGTAGAGAAAGCTGTCATCAAATCCAAAGGTCAGTGGGGCTATTCTGGGGTTTTCATAGTTGGAGCTGGTACCCTTGCTAAGGCTGACTACAGATCCTGTCACCTGAGGCTCAGGAGGGAAGGCCCAGCAGAGCTATAGGGCTCCTGGCCCACCTATCTCTAGGAGACAGGCCAAGGGCCCTCACTTATCCATACTTAACACCTGGGCTGGTACCATGTCCAGCTCTCAGAATAAGCCCTTACCTGTGGTTCCCAGGCTAACTAAGGAGAGCAAAAGCTGAGGTCCCTTTAGGAACCTGGAATGGTTGAGCCCCTACTCAAATGCAGGCTCCTCCTTCTCAATGATGTGGTACAATATGAACAACCACCACTTACCACAAGAACCTGATGAAGCTTTCACTTGTAAACATCACTGTAGGTAAACTAAAAAGTGAAGGGAAAAAAAGAGAGGCCTAAAGAATTGAGGTTCAGTGTTCCTATTATTTGTGGGAAGGGCTTGGGGCTAATCCTTCCTTTCACACAGGAAAAGATAAAGAGGTTGGTTGCCAGCCCTTGCAAAAGACATAGACAAACAGCAGTTGAGACACGACCGCCAGCCTACACAGGTCCTGCTACTGAAGGCCACTGGGCCTCCTCACACTCAGATGTAGGCTCTGTGCTTGAACACCTGCAGCATCCAAGGACTCACCCGCCATGCTCACAGTATGAGTAGATACACTCCCGGCTGTTCTTGTCCCACAGCTTGACAGTCTTGTCATCACTGGCAGAGACGATGAGCCGCCCATCAGGGGAAAACCTGAACCAGACGGGGGATGAGTCACACTACCAACTGACAGATATCATGGGTACCACACATATCTTCCACAGCAACCCTTCCCTGAGTGCCTTCTACCTGACCCCCAAAACCACCTGAACTGGCATGCCCTCTTCTTGCCCCAAGTGATCCAGGCCAAGTGGCTTCCCTTCTTTGTGAGATGAATTAGAATGATGTCAAAATGATATCTATGTGAGACAACATATTTTTTCTATTTTTTTTTTTTTTTTGC